GCAGCCTCACCAGTACCTGAGAGTGCAGACGCACTGGCACCTAGAGCAGCAGCCGCAGAAGTACCTAGCGCAGCAGTACCAATGCCCGGGTCGGGCGGGAAACACCGGTAACAGTCACCCTCCTCACTAATAGTCACAGCATACATGGCAGCAAGGATAGCATCAAAGTCAAGATCAAAGATAGCTACGCCAGCCCTAGACAGCTCTCCCCAACGGGGAATCTCACTAGCCTCGGGGAACTGCTGACGCCAAGCGTCCGTCAGGCGGCCAAAGCAGCGCTGGGTGGGGTGGGCACCCCCACACTGCTCACCCGCGCGGTCGCCGGAACGAAGGACGTAGGTGCACGGACCAAAACCCCCACCCCGCTGACGCTGCGTGTACCACTCACGGAGCTGCTGGGGCGGGGGGATGTCCCGCGAACGCTGCTGCTGCTGCTGCTGCTGACGCTGGCCACCACCAGAGCCGCTACGCTGCGGGGCACCACCCCGACCAGCTCCACCCCCTCCGCCACCGCCGCCTCCACCTCCACCACCACCGCTGCCTCCGCTCCCACCGCTGCCGCCACCACCGCCTCCTCCTCCGCTGCTGCCACCGCCACCACCGCCCCCGCCACCACTCCCACCGCCACTCCCACTCCCTCCGCCGCCTCCACCGCCACCTCCACCGCCCCCTCCATTTCCACCCGCGCCCTTGCCCCCCTTGCCCCTGCCAGGGCGGCGTCTCCCGCTAGGGGCAGACGCCGCGCAGACCGACTCAAGACCAAGCAGGTCGGCAGCAGCAGCAGAGGCAACAGAGGGCAGCAGGGGGGAAGGAGAACACCCCTCAAAGATGGGGGTGCGAGGGTCACCACGAGAGGCTCCTACAGCGACGATGCTCTTCTCCGCCGCCAGGAGGGACTTCTCGAGGAGATCGACAGTGAGAGTGGTGGGACAGACTGAGAGGAAGTGGTCCCTGACTACGTGAAGGGAGTCAGGGAGGCGTGTGACTATGTAATAGAGAGTGATGTACATGGGGGGGGGGTTCTTGGCGCAGAACTCAGCAGGAAGGGCGGCGCGGTAGCGAGTGTCACTAGTGCGGAGGTGCGTAATGAGGTCAGCGACAGTGGGAAAGGCAGCAAGGTCAGGAAAGAGGTACGGTAGCATGAGGCGGCTCAGGGCAGCAGTGGCAGGGGAAGAGTAGCGCGCAACTACAGCGTGATACAAGGTCTGAGCACTCTTGTACTGACTAAAGTGCGCGCGCTCAGTGGTAGGCAGGTGGCGACGCACAGCAAGACGTGCAGCAGCATCGCGGGTGGCCCACTGAGAGCGAACAGTGGGGTCAGCATCAGCAGCAGGGGCAGGAGAGGCGCCAGAGGTGAGGTCAAAGAGGGAAAGATCGTCCGTCCTATCGCACTGTAAGAACAGCTGCAGGTCGTCGACCCAGACCTCAAAGTCAATGGCTCGACCCTCAGCGTCAAAAGCGAGGACACTAGGGGTAGCCATGACGACGACAGTGTAGCAGTGCAAGCAGTAGGGGAGGGGCACGCAGTAACAGTGGTGCTGTGCTCACCAGGCAGGGCAGGTCGGGCGGCTCGGCAGTAGGGCGGCCCGGCGGCTGGGCGGCTCGGCGGCTCGGCTGCTGGGCGGCTCGGCTCCCGGGCGGCTCGGCGGCAGGGCGGCTCGGCGGCAGGGCGGCTCGGCGGCTCGGCTCCCGGGCGACTCGGCGGCAGGGCGGCTCGGCAGCAGGGCGGCTCGGCTCCCGGGCGGCTCGGCTGCTGGGCGGCTCGGCGGCAGGGCGGCTCGGCGGTCGTAGGCGGCGGGGCCGGTGAGGATAGGCGGCGGGGCCGGTGAGGATAGGCGGCTGGGCCGCGAAGTGGGGCGGCGGGGCCGCGTAGGTGAGGGCGGCGAGGCCGCGAAGGCAAGGGCGGCGAGGCCGCGTAGGTGAGGGCGGCGGGGCCGCGAAGTGAGGGCGGCGGGGCCGCGTAGGCAAGGGCGGCGAGGCCGCGACGTGAGGGCGGCGAGGCCGCGAAGGCAAGGGCGGCGAGGCCGCGTAGGTGAGGGCGGCGGGGCCGCGAAGTGAGGGCGGCGGGGCCGCGAAGGTGAGGGCGGCGGGGCCGCGTAGGCAAGGGCGGCGAGGCCGCGTAGGTGAGGGCGGCGGGGCCGCGAAGTGAGGGCGGCGGGGCCGCAACGTGAGGGCGGCGGGGCCGCGCAGGTGAGGGCGGCGGGGCCGCGTAGGCAAGGGCGGCGAGGCCGCGACGTGAGGGCGGCGGGGCCGCGACGGGAGGGCGGTGGGGCCGCGTAGGTGAGGGCGGCGCAACGGGCCGCTAGGGGCGACACGGAGGGTCGCTAAAAAAAAGAAAGCGCGCCTCGGGGCGCGCTTCGGTGGGCCCTAGAAACAGTCCCTAGGAGGGGACCTGCTCTGATTCCATGAGAAAAGGAGAAAGCGAATGGATGAACTATGAATGAAGTGAGTACATATACGAAACCCTAATTGGGTTGTACCCCCTATGGGATACCCCACTATAGCCTACACAACAGCATAAGCTATATATATGTTCTGACAGGACCTGGACGCATTTTCGGGAGGGATCAACCCTAAACACGGGAAAGGGCAATGTTTTTAGGGTTGATGCCTTCCCGAGTCGCATCCCTTTCCGATTGGGTTTTATTTTTTCTTGGGTCAGGTAGTGAACAGTGTTGCTAATCTGGCGAAAACTGTTGCCCGAAGAAATCATTGTTTTAGCGCAAAGCCAAGCGCGGAAGAAATCAGTGGTCAAGTAAAATAAAAATGCGGTATTAGGTAAATACGTAATTACCTCCAAAATTATGTATCGACGGTTTTGCATACAATTGCATAGGGTTACCAGCCTATTTTGCATGCTTATGATGTTGGCCCCAGCTAAAACTGAACTTCGCACGCTCAGCCACGCTCCTTTCGCATAATAAGATGGGCCAACATCATGGGCATGCAAAACAATACTGTACCCCTTTGCAGTTGTATGCAAAAGTGTCGATAACTCAGTTTCGGAGTAATTGACAACTCATCCGAGTAACACCTCTCCGTTTATGTTGTGGTTCTTCTCGCGCTCGGCTTTGCGTTCAATATTGGTTTATTTGGTCATTCGTTTCGTTTCAGCCAGATGAGCATTACTGTTCACTTGCGTTTTTTTGCGACCTTGTATTTCTGCCCGTCGTGTCCGTTGCATGCGAGGCTGAGTTCGCCCCAATACGCCTCGTGAAGGATTCGATTATGACTGACCCCTGATTTTCGTAAGAGGAAGAAAATAAACCCCTCTCGAATGGCAAACTCATTAAGGGGCATCAACCCTAAACACCCTGCTTCATGGTGTTTAGGGTTGATGCCCCCTAAACACCATACAAGAGGGATATATATATATATATATTATATACATTTTCCGAGTTGCGTGCACACATGGACGCGAAATAGAAGGTCGCGAAAAACGCAAATGGGCAGCAACGCTCAAATGGCTGAAACGAATGTCCGAATAAGCCGAGTTTATTCGCAAAGCGTAGCACGACACAAACCAAGTACAAAGTAAATAGAGACGCGTTACTCGGAAGAGTTGTCAATTACTCCAAAACTGAGGTATCGACACTTTTGCATACAACTGCAAAGGGGTACAGTATCATTTTGCATGCCCATGATGTTGGCCCATAATAAGATCACAGCGTCGTGCCCGTGGTCAGTGGTCACGGGTGAGAAGAAGTGGAGCTCTTTTCCCGCCTTTTCTTTCGCGCACGGTAGGTCTGTCCTGCATCCCTACGTGGCGCTTCAGCACTTTCGTTTGACCGACCTTGTCAGAATGACCCCTCTCGCACCCACGTTACGTGCTTTTGACGATTTTCGGTAGTTTCCGGTTGTAGCGATCCTTTGCGAGGCCTTTCGCGATATCTGCGAAGAGAACTAGAACCCAACCACCGTAGCAAATTTCGGATGGGTATTTGACATGTTAATGGAATTGATCAGCTCCAGGCGGGTCCTAAAAAAAAAACTCAGTTTTTTGCGTTTCTCTTCATCCAGGTGAAAGCTAGCAAACTATATTTTGTCTCCGCTCTTCCGACTGAATAAGCAGCTGGTAGCGCGTCCCGCTTTCAACCATCGCCATGACTCGCCATGCCGCTCCGTTTCTCGCGGCGAGCGTACTCACCTTGGCATTTTTCGCGACTTTCGTGCCGCTGATTGCGCCGGTTTCCGCGGCAAAGCAAAGCGACTTCCCCGCCTGTTGGTACTCGGGCCTGCTGCCCGTGAAACCGAATGTGACTGTAACGAGGTGCCTGGACGCGGCGGAATGGACGTGCTGCTCCGACTGCGAGGACCGGAAATACGCGGTAGTGGAGGCGTCCACTGATGGACGCGTTATACTGAACCAGGTCTCGCCGGGGCTCGGCGACAAGTTTACAAACGTCAACATGATGGTACGCGATACAGAGTGACTCTCGTCCATTATACTATAACGGCGGAATGCGGGAGAACTCGAGAGGAATCTTGACGAAAGTGATGAGCAAGGAGTGCTGAACAAACTGCCGCGGTGCGCAAATATTGTCGGGCTGGCCATCTCTTTCCGTGATCTATCAGCCCCTCCACCTCCCCACCCCCGCCACCCCTCCCTTTCCCTCGTTTATCCATTTCTCGCCGTTATTTCCTGTAGTTTCCGCCACTCCGCATGTGTTCGTGTGCGCCATTGGCTGCAGTTCGAGTCGCATATTTACGCTCTCTCACCCCCTCTCACTTCCTTCCTCTCTCACTCCGCTCTCTCGGCCTCTCTCGATTATCCGCTGCACCGCCACTCCACAACTCCGCCGATCCGCCTCTCCGCAAACATGCGCGCTATCCAGCGTCTTCGAGCTGTGCCGTTCCGCCGTTGATTTCCGAAGCTTCCACCCACCGGTTGACATCCCTTCCTCTCTCCCCTCCCTTCCCCAGCAGTACGCGCCGTTCTGTGGCTTGGAGCAGTGCTGGCTCCTCCATTGATTACCAACGCTTTCACTCACCCGTTCAATATGCCCCCTTTTCCGCGCTTTCCCCCGTCCGCCTCCCCCCGCCTTCCCCACTCTTCCGCCACCTCCTCCCCGTCTCCCCGCTCCTCCCGCGCAGGTGTGCGCGCAGTTCAGCGAGTTCCAGCAGTGCCAGCTCCTCCTCGAGCAGGTCGTGTGCGCCACGGGGTGCAACCCGGGTGAGTGCGGTGCTACCTGGTTGAGTGCGGCCGGGTTACCACGTCGTAGCAGCTGCGCGAGTGAGAAGCTGTGAGGGCGAGTGAGAAGCTGTGAGGGCGAGTGAGAAGCAGTGAGGGCGAGTGAGAAGCAACGAGGGCGAGCGAGAAGCAACGAGGGCGAGCGAGAAGCAACGAGGGCGAGCGAGAAGCAACGAGGGCGAGCGAGAAGCAACGAGGGCGAGCGAGAAGCAACGAGGGCGAGCGAGGCGCAACGAGGGCGAGCGAGGCGCCGTGCTGATCCTGCCTCACCCATGAGCCTTGCTGTGTGGTACCCCCGCCCTCCTCCTCTCCCCTCACCTCCTTTACCCCATGCGTCCGCCACAGATTCGGGCAGCTATTTTAAGATAATCAACGGGACGCGCGTCATGCAGGTCTGCAACGCCTTCTCACAGACCGTCTACCAAACCTGCAAGGGACTCACGTGTGAGTACACCCTTTTCAGTTGGGTAATTTCTGTGTTTAGGCTAGGCGCCTGTGACGTGCGTCATGCCGATCTGCAACGCCGTCCCCCAGACCGTCTCACGTACACCCTTTTAAATTCGTGTGACTTCTGTTTTAGGCACCTATGACTCATGCTATGCTATGCATGTCTGCAACCTCTCAGACTGTCTACCAAACCTGCAAGGGGCTTAACTGTGAGCCCTGCCAAACCTACCGATCATCCATCCACACATCCTTCGTCTCCCTCTTACCCTTCCTCTCCCTCGTCCTCTCCATCTTCACCCCCTTCCCCCCCCACCCCACCTCTCTTCTCCCCTTCATTGCCCACTCGCCCCAACCCAACAGTGCCTGGCGTCGCCACACTGGACAGGTTCTTCCCAACACCCGAGCGATTCATGGAGGACCTGTTTGGCAAGGTGGGCACCGCCTTTGGCGTCTACAACTTCACAGTCGCCGTCACGCCTGACGCCTCCGACCAGACCCAGTGCTACAACGGGCCCAAGAAACTGCCGCCCATGCCCTTCTGCTGCGACCCTCTTCCCATCCCCATTGAGAAGTGCCCCGCTAAGGTTATGAACTTCACCGAGTATCCGAATATGAGGCAGTATATCAACCGGACGGTGACTGACAGGCAGTGCGATAAGTTCAGGTGCAGCACCAACGGCGGCGATGGCGGTGGCACAAGCAGCAAGCTGAATGGGATCACATCTCCTACTGACTGTATTCCTACAAGCAACACTGGTGGCAGCAGCAACACTAGTAGCAGCAGCAGTGGGAGCTCCTCGGCTGGTTCGAGTGGGGGGAAGGTCTCCCACCGCCTGCATGCCACGGCTTACTTCGTTGCTGCGGCGGTGATGCTGGCAGCGCTGGCACTGCTGTGAGTGCAGGGCAGATGATGGTGGCTGTTCCCTCCGTTGCCTCACACCATACATCATAACGAAATTCAAAAGAAAGGCCAAAACACTCAGTTGTCCCCAGCGACACGATGACCGCCAGCATCGCATGACGTCACTTTTGTCTTAAAGTGCTGTATTCTAGATGGAGACCCCTGCGTATACGAGTCCCCTGGGGCTCTTATTTGGAGCCTTCATTGCGGCAATCCCTGCAAGGACATTTCCATATCATTGTAATGTCCCGCATGAAGTTGTGACTGGAAATAATGGGTTTTGCTTTACCGTACTTTGATCAGTTGCAGGCTTAGCCTTATGGGGCCTATCTGGGTGTTGGCTTGAAAATAATGAAGGATAGGAGGGATATTTTGTTTTGAGCCGTACCCCCATGTTATGAGTTGTTAAAACCAGGGTCTCATGTAAGCAAAACTGCCATCAACTGCAAAACAGTTGAAGCTAGGTTACCTAATTAGTGCAGGCGAAGTTATCTCTGGTTTGGTTGGAACCTCAACCCAGACTTTGCCTCAGGAGCAATTGCAAGACAAGTTTTGCGTACATGTGACTTTCTGTCAAATGTTATTGCTTGTTATAGGCTGCAGTGAGGTGCTCCTTAGTGAGTACAACTCAGTTAAGGTTTCATATTTGTACTGCCTTGCTTTCCTAGTCAATCCCATTCCGTTGCATTCACTTTCTGAGATGGTATCACGAGTAGGTTAGATTCCTTGCCTAGCTTGCGCCCTAGCGCCCTCCGTACCCTAGCGCGCCTCCGCGCCCTACGTGCCCTACGCGCCCTCCGTCACGCGCCCTAGCGCCCTCCGCGCCCTAGCGCCCTCCGCGCCCTAGCGCCCTCCGCGCCCTAGCGCGCCTCCGCGCCTCACGCACCCTCCGTCACTCGCTTAAGCGCCCTCCACGCCCTAGCGCCCTCCGTGCACCTAGCCGGCGCCCTCCCGCGCCATCCGCGCCTAGCCCGCGCCCGAGCGCCGTCCGCGCCTAGCCCGCGCCCGAGCCTCGCGCCCTCGCCTTAGCCCGCGCCTCGCGCCTTAGCCCGTGCCTTAACCCGCGCCTGAGAGCCGCCCACGCCTCGCGCCCTCGGCGCTTAGCCCCGCCCTCCGTGCCATCCGCGCCCTCCGCGTCAACCGCGCCCTCCGCGCCTAGCCCGCGCCGAGCCCGCGCCCTCGCCTTAGCCCGCGCCCTACCGACGCCCTCGCCAAAGGCCGCGCCCAGCCCACGCGCCACCTCCTCCTCCTAACGCCCCAACCGCCCCTCCTCACCTAGCCAGTGCGCCCTCCTAGCTCGCGCCCTCACCCAACCTGCACTAGGCACAAGGTTCCTTCTGTCAGAATGAACAAGAGTGATTGAACTAACAACATTGGGAGTACAAGTAGGAAATCCTAGAATGTTGTACCCCCTAAGGCTAAACCCACTATAGCCTACAGAATATAAACATATACAATGTTTGACACACCCCCATAGGCTAAGTGGGAGACAACCAGATGGTCACAAGACCAGTCAAAGCAAAGCAAAGCAAAACAAGCTCAGGGTGGATCTCAAGGATACCACACAAATTCCGAGCACAAGCAAGCGGTCACAAGACCAGTTCACATATAGTTTGATAATATAACAAGAGGTACAGTGATCACAACCTAGCAAGTGTAAGCATGCACGTATATGTATAGAGATCACAGTACAAGCAGAGTCAAGAAGTAAGCAAGTGAGGCACAGTAGGCACAACGCCTAGAACAGTACAGAAACGCTGATGATCACAAGGCTGAAGCGCCTTGGTGAACACATCAGCAGTGTTGGCCCGAGTGGCCACGTAAGCAAGACGAAGCTGACCACGCTGCTGCAACTCTCGAGCAAGGAAGTAGCGCAGAGCGATGTGCTTCGTTCTGTGCTCCAGTCTGTGCTCCTGACACAAGGCAATCATGGCCTTGTTGTCGACGTACAGAACTGGAGGAGAACGAGGCGGCTCTCCAAGGTCAGTCAGCAGGTAGGTGAGCCAGCGAAACTCCTGTGCAGCCATGGCCCCTGCGTAGATCTCAGCCTCACAACTAGAGCTGAGAACAGAACACGAGCGGGTAGACCGCAAAGAAACACAGCCGGAGCCAAGACTGAAGGTGTAACCCTGTGACGACCGCTGCGTAGTGTCGTCAGCCCAAGAAGCGTCAGCGTGACCAGTGAGGACAACTCGAGCCCGTCCTCCAAGCACAAGCCCCATGCCCAACGTACTGCACAAGTAGCGCAACACCCTCTTAGCGGCATCCATGTACTCCTTCCGGTGACGGCCAGGAGCGACATAGCGTGCCAGGATGCTAAGAGGGTATGCAAGGTCAGGTCGAGTGCAGGTCATCAGGTATCTGAGGCAGCCCACAAGCTCTGGGTACGTGCCACTCGGCTCTACGGACTCGTCCGAAGGTGGAGCTGAGAGCGAGTGACCGGTAGGCAGAGGAGTGGACTGAGGCGAGGAGTGCGTGAAGCGGAAGCGCTGAAGGACCTGCTGCACCATGTGTGACTGAGTCAAGGTAATGGTGCGCTGTGCTCTGTCCCGGGTGATCCGCAAGCCAACATAGCTTGTCAGTTCACCCAGATCTGTGCACGTGTGTCTCTTCTGCAGCTCCGACTTCACGTGGGCGAGTGCCTCAGTGTCAGCAGTAGCAAAGACCAAGTCGTCTACGTACACGAGAACGTAGGATGGCGGCAGAGTGGTGTCGGTGCGTAGAAACAGCGACGGGTCAGCAGTGGAAGGAGCAAACCCAAGAGCAGCAAGAGTAGTCCTCAGTGTGTCGTGCCACTCACGGGGTGCCTGGCGGAGACCGTAGACTGGCCGCCGGAGGCTCCACTGGGTACCAGCAGGAAACGACCCAGTGAAGCCAGGTGGGCGGCGCAGCCAGATCTCCTCGTGTAGGCTGCCCTGTAGAAAAGCAGTGCTGAAGTCAAGAGAGTGGAGCTCGTAGTCACGCTGAGCAGCGACGTACAGCAGAACCCGAAGAGTGGTCATCTTCGGGGTAGGGGAGAAGGTCTGGAAGAAGTCAACTCCCTCACGCTGACTGAAGCCTCGTGCAACGTAACGCGCCTTGAAGACAGGCGGAGAACCCGGCGGCCGCTTCACCCTGAAAATCCACATGCCACTGACGATGTTCGCCCCAGGCGGGGGAACCTCGTCGACGTAGGTGCCTGTGGACTTCCAGGAAGCCATCTCTGCGTCCATGGCTGACTGCCACTGAGAGGAGTAGGGACCCTCTATCGCCTCTGCGTAAGAGCGCGGGGTCGGGATGTCTAGTGCATCCGGGTCTCCCTCAGGGGCAATCAGCATGGACACGAGATGAGGTAAAGCAGCAATAAAGCACTCAAACTCCTCCTGTCTGTCCTCAAGGACGTCTGTGCCAAGGGCACACTCACCCCCGACGGACGGAGGACAGACAGACTCAGACTCAGCAACAAGGCTAGCGGCGTAGTCTAGACGACAGGCGGCAGCAAAGTCAACAAGCTCAGCGACTAGAGCAGACGCAGCAGTGGACTCAAAGGTAGGGTCAGTGACAACAGTGGCGAGGAAACGCGTGACAGTAGGACTCCGGGTCAGCAAGAGCAGGAAGAGAGGACGCTGGAGGAGACGGCAGAGGGACACGCTGTGGAGCAGTGGAAGGACGCAGAGTCATATAGTGAGTGCCAGGGACAGGAGGAGGACGCTCACGCGGAACACGACGACAAGTGCGGGCAAAATGGACAGGCGACTCTGGACGAGACTCAGGCGACGTAGGACGAGAATCAGGCGACGCAGGACGAGACTCAGGCTCACGACGCTCCGTAAGACCTCCAGTCGGCCCAGCGTAAGGAGAAGGACTGGGCAGCGGAGAGGCAGGCTGTAACTGTGACTGCGACTGGACAGGCGGTGGACTCAGTAGGGGAGGAGTAGGGCCAGTAGGGGGCGGGAGGCCAAGAACCTGCTGAAGGAGCGGAACGTAGTACGGTCGCGGCCGCGCAGCTCCTCCTGAGCCAGCAGAGACAGCACCAGCTCCCTCAGCTCCAGGGTCTCCAGCTACAACTCCCGCAGCACCACCAGCAGCTCCAGCAGCTCCAGAACCTCCAGCAGCTCCAGCACCAGCAGCACCTCCAGAAGCACCAGCAGCACCTCCAGCAGCTCCAGCACCAGCAGCACCTCCAGCAGCACCACCAGCAGCTCCAGAACCTCCAGCAGCTCCAGCTCCAGCAGCACCTCCAGAAGCACCAGCAGCACCTCCAGCAGCTCCAGCACCAGCAGCACCTCCAGCAGCACCACCAGCAGCTCCAGAACCTCCAGCAGCTCCAGCACCAGCAGCACCTCCAGCAGCTCCAGCACCAGCAGCACCTCCAGCAGTACCACCAACAGCTCCTGCACCAGCAGCACCAGCTCCAGGGTCCTCAGCACCAGCAGCACCACTCCGGAGACTGCAGCGCCGAGCGTACCACTCTCGGAGCCGCTGAGGAGAGGGCGGCTCCCGCCTAGGCGGGGAACCACGAGCAACAGCTGCAGCAGCACCCTAGCCCCAGAAGCGCCCCTCCCGAGGCTGCAGTACCGCGAGTACCACTCACGCAGCTGCTGTGTAGAGGGAGCGCCTCCAGGCGCCTCACGGTCAGTCCCAGCACCCCCAGGCTCAGTACCCTCAGACTCAGCACTCTCAGGCTCAGCACCCCCAGACTCAGCACCCTCAGGCTCTGCACACCCAGGCTCCGCACCCGCAGACTCAGCACCCCCAGGCTCCGCACGCTCAGGCTCAGCACCCCCAGGCTCCGCACCCCCAGGCTCCGCACGCTCAGGCTCAGCACCCCTAGCAGGACGAGAGTCGACAGCTACCTCGACAGGCTCAATCGGGTCTACCTGGGACACACCTGAGGGAGCGGCACCCTGAGGGGGGAGGGGGTCTACCACAGCAGCACCTGGTGCGAGGAAGAGAGGCGGGGGGGGGGGCGGGGCAGTGCGGTAGGGGAAGAGGCGGTAGTAGGGGACCGACTCG